CAAATATTACCAGTTATCACGAATCGGAAAATAAGTATTTCAGTATAATAGTGTAATACTTACCCACTCACAAACTCATTTCACCGGAGTCAAACATTACCTTAACTGAAACGAAGGTCGTATTCTTGGAAATACTGCACCACAGGAAGCCCACAGGAATAGTTCATTAAACAAATGACGTCGAATGTCAAATGTGTTAACAATAGAATAGAATAGAAATTTATTTGTGCCTTCTGATTTGCAAATTAATTGTTTGAATTTTGAGAATTATAATAAGAATTCGAGGAACCACTTGCTACCTAAAATAGCAATGCTAATCTAGTTAGGTAGCTAATTGTTGTACAGTATTCCATCGTACTCGGACAAGCAGCAGTAAAACACGGCTGTGAACTGTCACTCAGCCGAATATGAACTAACAACAAAGAACAAAATCTAAACACCAAATTATTAGGTTAAAAGTTAAAAAAACAAAGATTTAAGGGTATAAACACCAAATTCTTCGGACTGATTCAAAACAGAACTCTGTACTAATAGTACTAGAAAAAATAGGCGTAACTAAAAAACTATATTAAGTACTTACATATCAGTTCCCTTTTGATCTAAAGTAGCCTAGGGCAATTAATAAACGAAAAACACGATTATAGAAGGCACAAGACACTGTGGTCACAACGCAAAAGGTCTTACTTGGAAGAATGACTCGCCTATCTAATCACGTACGCGTGAGCACGCTAATGATCAAGTTACAAAGTACATAGAAACAACGAATCATAAAGGAGAACTATGGGGTAAAATACCGGTCAAAAATACGTGTAGTATACATGTATTATACAAGTATCATACATGTGATGGCGTTTGGAACGTGTACTTAAATACATGCTTTCAATTAAATACAGGTTTGTTAAACATTTGTATAGCCTGTGTACAGCCGCTTGTACACAGGCTAACATTTGTAAAGAAAGTGACAAGATACATGTGTGTGGTACATGTATCACTTGCTGCTTGACTTCCAAGCAAGGAGTGTGCCAAGCATTACAGGAAGAACACACGATGGTAAAGTCCATGGATTCAATGATCTGACACGAACTTCAAATACTGATAGATATCTCTTGTTGTCTGCCATATTGTTTGGTATAAGAGGACTTTTGATGGTGATTAAATCGATCAGAATGACAACGAAAACATGCAGCTCTCTTGGATTGACGAAGAGTGTAAACCTGTTACCGGTTGAGTGACCACCAACCCGCATGCAGTATAGTATTTAGCATATTTGACCTGTCTGCTACATGACTGAAGATTGACGATTCCATTTTAATGGTTCAACTGCATTATTTATTGCATGTCACCACACAACCAACGAGTAGTTTTATACCACTTCTAGTCGTTATTTTACAGTAAAAAAAGGAATAGTGTCATCAAGATTTCCTGATGTTAAAATGTTGTCGCCGGCCCTTGATATGTTAAGAGGCACTTTTTTCATCGCATTAGTTGTCACGGAAACTACCTGTCTTAAAAATGAACCCTTCTCTTGCCAGCCAATCACGTCTTAATTTCTTTTCCCGTATCTTCGATGTTTTAGTGCGTATTTCGCATGACAGGTGTTCACGTTGAATAATAAATCAGAAAATGTAATGACAAATTTTTAATCCAAGGTTCCTTGCCGAAGCAAACATTCTTCTTTGAGAAAAACGATCGATATTGCCTGATAAATCATGAGGGTTTATATTGCACATACAACAGATCTTTTGTATCGGCTGATTTGAAAGGAATATCTGGACATAATATGCAACATTTCCATTGACCTTGCTCGTTACATTGTATTTCGTTTGGAATCGATATCAGATGGAACGAGTTTTTTAAAGGATTGCACACAAATTATTTGAATCACGGAGAGGGATTACTGGGCTACGCTGTATCGACTGTATGGCGTCTCATTCGCTGCCGTCATTAGATGTTATAATAATAAATAATAATAAAGAGTATTTTATATAGCGTCAATATCGCCTGGCTTCAACAATGCTTTACAATATATTGATCATGAGAAAAGAAATTAGGATAAAACTCAAAAGGAGGTTTATATTTGAAGCTTAAATCAAATTTATTAAAAATATTAGTTTAAATTGATCATTAAACTTATCTAAAACTACAATAATATACATTTCATTCTTAACATTTCATTTCATTTCAAAATATTACATTTAATATTATTTAATACTTAATATTATTTAATACTTAATATTATTTAATACTTATAATATCAATGATTTACCATCTGTGTGTGAGTCCGGTGACGTTGAGTCCTATGTTGACATGATTCCAAATTATACATCACATTTTCTAAAGGGGAATCTTCCAAAGGCCTTGGGAACTTAAAGAATGATCTACTGAGAGTTGCTGCCTGGTGTAGCGATAATTCCCTCCTGATAAATCCAGACCCACCGGGAATCCAGACAAAACGCAGTTTTGTGTTTTTGGCTCTCGACAAATGTTATCTCGATGCACCATTCCACCAATAACGTTCCTTGGTAAAGAACTATTAGTGGTTAACTCTGTTAATGACCTTGGAGTTATATTGGACAACCATGCCATCTCTCATTAAGTGACCACATTGACTCCTTGGTATCATCGCTTATGGGTAAATTAGCTTAAATTGTCCATGATCAGCAGTATCCGCCATCTGTTAGATGCGTCTAGTCTGTCCATCGTCATAAATTCTCTTGTTTTCAGCAAGCTGTATTACTGTTGCAGTGTAAGGTCAGACACTAGTAAAAAACTCCAACTTAAACAGTACTTGTTCACTCAAGAGACACTCGAAAGAAAGTGTGACCTACAAATCCCTAAGTGTAGAACTGCCACTGGTCAACAGAGCTTCTCTTACAGAGGTATTAAAATTTAGAGCAGCCTGTCAACCTCAATGAAAAGCTCACAGTCCGCAAATGCATTTAAAGCCTCCCTCAAAGAGTTACTTTTAATTTAGATCGTTTTCTCAAAGACCTGAACTAAGACTTTATCTATAGTATAACAATAACAATATAGTTATACATTCCGCATATACATTTTTATATTTTTTTCATTATTAGCCTTATTGATAGTTGTATTACTACGATAATTATAAGACTTTATTCATAGGATAATAATAATACCGTAAATCCTCTATTTAGCCCCCCTCTCAAATAAGACCCCCTCTCTAATAAGCCTCTCTTTGCTTTGTTAATGTTACCGTGTTTTAGTTTTGCTATTCACAATAATCATAAATTACACCTGAGAGACTAACACAGGTGAATCAAATAATAAAAATGCCATGTACATCACTACAGATTATGCGAGACGGTCAATAGTAATGCTTCCGTTTAATCCTGAGTTACAATCATATTACATACTGCGTTTCGACTAAATCAATAAGCCCCCCCCCCCAATTAAGCCCCCCCCCCCCCTCTCCAATAAGCCCTCCCTCAAACGTGCCCGAAATAAATAAGCCCCCCGGGGGGCTAAATAGAGGATTTACGGTAGTTTTTTTTTTAATCACATGTAATTCATTAGAATTGTTCTTATCGTAAATTGGCCTGAAAATCCCTTTTGGGAGTCCAATAAAGCGTATGTATGTATATATCTGTGACCGAAACTAATGACGACTGAGGCAAAGGATACTACATCGACTGTCAGGCGGTTTTTTAAGTACAGTCGGCAATACCCAAAGAATATTTTTACATCGCGATACTGATACCCACATCTATATATCTAGATACAAATCGTGCTCAGAATAAAAAAGAAAATACAAAAGAACAGAAACAAACAAACAAACACATTTGTTCTTTATCAGAAAATTTAAGCATTTAATCATTTTTATTCGTTTAATCTAATTTCTAATATTTTTCTTTTTCTTGAGTTTGATATTTCGACAATTAATTACCAAAAACTGATTTTGGGGAGGGAGGCACGGAAGGCTTTATATTATTAATAATAATAATACTTTATTTCTTAAAAAACGAATTTCAAAAACTCAATGCTTTCAGTACAGATGTAATATATACATTGGTATATAACTAAGATAAAATATCGAGAAAAATTTTTAAAATAGATAATGAGAAAATTAAAAAAAAAAAAAAATACTATAGGCCCYAATTAATAATTGTAATCTAATCTTTAGTTAGTTAAAAATATGTGTCTCTAATTTCGATTTAAAAATATCAACAGTTTCTGAGTTTTTCAGTTCTTCAGGTAATGAGTTGCAAATTTTCGGTCCTGCTATAGAGAATATTCGCATATTATGCAATACGTATCTTCTATACTATAAAACATAATTTTTATGCAAATAATTGCTTATGTATGTTGGTAACTATTATATAACGGAATTTATGCAACTAACTACATCATACTATATATTTATACAAATAAAACAGGTTTTTCCGTGCTCCGATCAGTAATAAAGCACGCAGGAAGTGGCGTAAACACGAAAGAAGTGTAAGGGGAAGCTCGAGCAGTAAGGGAGGCGCTTCCTGCGTGCTTTATTACCTAACGGAGCACGGAAAAAGCTGTAATATTCGTTAATTATATACTCACTAATTTTATTTCGGTATTGAATTTATTTACGCAAAAAGAAAAACGGTCGCAGGATCTATAAGCACTTCACGCGCGCGTATGACGTCAGCACTGTGCTCCGTTCACTAACAAAGCACAGTTTTCGACCAATCAGCGCGCACTTACTATCCTAACAATATAATCAATTCCGTTCTATATCACGTACTATATAACGAATTAACTTTCAAAGTCTTCTGAGGAGTACTCCCGATTTTCTCTCAATACTGATTCATCATCATGTATGCTTGCAGTTTCTATCCTTTTACAACCATCGTTTGTTGATATAATGATGAGGTAGCAGAAACATCTCGACACTGCAGTGTATAAGAATTCTCGGGTTGTATCTGCGTTATTTGGCTTATACTGGGGATCACATAAAATCACAACTTTTGATTCGAGCCCCTTAAACTCTTTTATAGTGTCTAGGGCTATGGCATTCTCTTTTTCTCTCAAGCGATTTTCAACTGTCACACAACGTAAATTGTACTTCTCCTTCTTGAGATGTTTGATACAATTATCTCTTATCCTCTTGCTTCTAACTAAAACAGCAATATCTTTGTGCTCAACGTTAGATTCCCTCAACTTCTTTACATGATGATCCACGAGCTCTAATAGGTTTTTCTTCGATAGCTGGTTGTCATATTTGACTTCTAAACCAATTATCTGGTGTCCAAGCGAAATTTCTCCCTCATAAATTCCTTTATAATATTTATTTGTCAAGGAAAATATGTTTTTTGTATTTCGCAAAACTTCTGTTAGTTGAGATGTGTTTCTAGTAATCTTATCTAAAAAAGAACGGTTTATCTCCTTTCGCTGCAAATGTTGGTTACTATCATACATGATCCAAAAATAGTATCGGCGGCTGGCGACTGGTGTGCGATGTAGTTTCTTTAAGAAAACTGGCCACTTATCTAAGAACATATCTTGGCCTTCGTCGACGAATATATGCTCATACCTATGTTCGAATTCTTCGGGCAGTCTTTCAATTAATTTCGTTTCTACCTCCAATCTGCGTCTCAGAAAAAGATTTTTTTGACCACGCCTCACTGTGACCGACTCTTTTTCAATCTCATTGATAAAGCTGTCGTACGTTTTAACATGAACTGGACATGTTTTCGAGGGAAATTCACTGTTGAACCAATCACTGATCTCATTGTTGAGATGAATAGAGAGAGGAACACTGCAACATAGGACCAGAATTCTTTCTTGTTGGTGTTCACCCACAGTAATATCCTCTGCGATCTGTTTTACCTTCTCAATCAGTAACACAGTCTTTCCGCTTCCAGCTGGACCAGAAATCCACTGTTCTGGAAGAGTTTTGTACCATGATTTTAGCTGATTGGGAGTTAAAACTTTAACTATTTTATCGTGTGTCTTGTCAATCTGCTGGTTTAAGGCTGGAGCTGAACAGATAAAAAGGACATACCTGGCGACAAAATTAGAAAGAAAATCATGACTGAGTACTGTCTGATTTAGATGATTTAGACATAAAAGAAAGAATTTTCCTCAGCCTCCTTTTTAGGCCGTTCTGCACCTTGTAATGAATAAATTTTAAACAGTGAACCGATCTGAAGGGTAGTTTAGCCGAGGCAAAGGGCCCGCCTTTTGAGAATATTATTTTAACATCCAAAAAAAACGTCCAGCACGAGTAGTCGGTGATATACTGAAAAAAAATTATCGACGGAAAATAGAAAAGTGGAGTGAAATGTAAAAGTACGAGTGCCTATGACACCTAACTGAATATTTTCAGCATTGATCGGCAAAAGGTTTGTTATACTTCCAATATGTTAATGAGTATGACGTCAAAGGTGATATCTAAGTTCATTTGTCATCATTTGGAAATTGAAAAATTGATTACTATGAGAAAACGAATTTGCAATAACCTTTCTATAAACCCTGAGTAAGATAATTATGTCTTATACAAGATATTTTACTACCCCACACTCATTAACATACTGGAAGTATAAAGCTTGATATCTCCAAGATGCATCACTCAAATGATATAACAATATTTTACCATTCAAATATTCACTTCATGTGGAATAGGCACTTAAACATAGGGATATATCAGTAAGCAGTGAGTATTCACCAGCCTTTTATAAAAAATTATCAATAAGATTATATATAACCCTTACTTTTTTACCAATTCCTCGTATACTTTCGATTCAAACTGTGGTTTTTCAGGTTTGGCAATAACTTTTTCCCACCACACCTTGAAGGAATCGACGTTGCAATCTTCCTTAAAGATCCCATTTTCGTGGGAAGCAGACTGTTTTGGTCTTGGACAGTTAGGCATAACTACAAAGCCCGGAAATGTATAAAGAGCCTCATTCCTTTCCTTTGACTTGCCAAACCGTTTTTTGAGGTAGTTTTCAACTGATCTCTTGGCTTTTTCAATTTGTTTTTCAGCTTGCTTAAACACTTCTTTAGTCTTCTCTCTACTTTTGACTTCTAAGAAGATCAATCCGTATTGGCGGTGAATTATCACAAAGTCGTGTTCTCCTTGAATCCATTTCGTCTTTTCCCTATCCACAATGCCGGTTTTATGGTAACTTACAAGCTCACAAAAGCTATGGGCATGAACAACAAACATTGGCTGTTTAGTTTCATTTCCAAACTTTTTTAGCAAGTCAAATACTTTACTCTCTTCGTTCTCGTTACGCGCATATGTTAAAGGTTCGCCCCCTTGAATAATATCTGGTACCATTATAGTATGCTCTAACTGTTTCCAGTTTGGATAATGTGCTGACAAAAACCTTTCACCCTCTTCATCCCAACTTCTTGTACCATCGTCTTCGAGATCTTTTCTTCCCAAAGATGTCTTCTTTTTGGAGAAAATAACAAAAAATAGAATAAAATGAAATAAAATATGTAGGACAAATGTTGGTCTTGTAACTATGGAAACATGTTTGATAGCTGATAAGGACTTGAATAGTTTCTTTGTTGATACTTACAATTGGTTTTTCACGATGCCAACCTATGAGAAAGAAGGTTTATGTTACATATAATGCCGTTAATGCCGTTAAAAATTGATCTATTGAATTCTCCCTCTCATAAGTATAATCTAAGGAACACAGATTTTTCTATTACTAGTTATATTACAGTTAAGTATGGGAGGAATAGTCTTAGGTATTTTGGACCATACTTGTGGTCTAAGCTCAA